CTGTGTCGTGCTGTCCTCAGTTTTTATCACAATCATTCCCTTTTTCTTCCCTCTCCGTTTCATCCCTCTCTGTTTAACACAGTTATGTGTTTAGGCCACAGCGTTTCTGTTTTATGGCTGTTTAAATTTAGGCTATTATATGGCTATTTAAAACACATGTCCAGTAGTTGTTCTTAATGGCTGGAACCCTGAATTATTAACAAGCTGCCCCTGATTCCTCCATGATAAAGGAGATATATGATGCGCTACAGCACAGTGATTCCCTTTTCAGGTTCTAATTGAACTGTGCCCTACAGAATTACACAGGCCTAGATTAGGACCTAATAATACTCCCAGCTGGAGTGATAATTGAAGTGAGAATATGAAGCCGATCGGAGAGAGGATCTGCTGGGGGATCAGGGGTGCAGAGAGTGTGCTTTGGGCTTTACATCGCATTCAGCTCTGTACTACTATTATATTCAGTATGCCACAGAACGCAGCATACTTCACCTTGACAAGGACAGTGACTTCAGCCACTCCAACATACTGCCACATCGCAAGGCTCTGAGGCTTTGTTAAGATCTGAATCAATTCTACACTCATGACCACTCAAAGTACAACAATACAGACATCAACGCACATGCATCTGTGCAAGCTGTAACATACATTTCATATAAAGTTATGTAGATATCCAAATGTAAGCAGATCTCCTCATATCCTGTATAAGTACAAGTTGCCAGATTTTCTTCATTTTCAATTTCTTTATACATTACAGCAGCGGGCTGCAACCTGGAGGTCAGCAAAGCTTCATGGGAGGTCGTATGGGAGGTTGATTTTAAGGCATACTAGAAAACTCAACATTTCATTAATTTCTGTGAAGAAAACTAAATTAAACTGTTATTTTTAATGTTTAGATTACATTGTCAAACTACATAACAACAAAAAATTGTTAAAACTGATTACATCCAATTTTAAATAAAAAAAACATTCTTGATCAAGTAGCTTTAATAATTTTAAGTGACACTGACTTAATTTTGAAGTTTTTATTTGTGTTGTAAAAAAAAGAAACTAGGAAAAGGTACTTATTCAAGAAGGTTTTTAAACTTACAAAATTTAAAGTTAAAATTTTAAAAGTAAACCATTTAATCATCGCATTACAGTGAATTATTTATTATATATTATTTATGACCTGAACACAAGCTGTATTAGAACAATGTATGGCCAAGTATCAGGTTGAAGAAAACACTGAATTAGTCAAAAAAGCAGCCTATTAAGTATTTATGATTATTTAAAAAAAACTAATATAATACAGACAGAGGATTGTATAAAAAGTGTATTCACAGGAAATAATAAAAAAAAATGCTAAAATTCATCCAAACCAAGTTATTGTGTTCACTGTTTGGGTTCAATGTTCAGTTTATCAGTTGTTCTGTATTTACTAAATATAGTCAGGGCTGCCTGACATGTTGGCCGTTTGAAAATACATTCTATCAAATCACTGGTTTTCTATGTTTACATGTTTTTTTCTGTTCTTTTTTATTTGTCCATTTATTTTGCTGCTGAAGTTTTGCTGTAGAGATCAGGGCCTCAGAATTGTGTCTGTAGCTTAAGGGATAAATGACACTCTAAAGTTGTTACGGTACATCTGTGCCAAGGCTTGAAGCCAATCATACTTGGCTTCTATGGAAGATAATGGCTGGTAACAGAAAGGAGGAAACGTATACCAGACAGATGTCAAGGTTTATCAAGCTGAAAAACTTTCAGTGTTCAACGGTTCACATCCATTATTCCAGAATTAAGAGTTGAGTTGAAGCATTTCTCTCTAAAGCCTCTCTCACACGCACTTGATGGTGTTGTTACACTGGCAATGAATGATGGGTCTATTTTCCAGCTTAACACAGGTCAATTTAACAGGTAATACTGACAGGTCCTATTTTCTGACTGACAACTGAGAACTTGAAACATCAAATAGTTACCTACAGGAGAATGCAAACAGTTCCAAATAAAGTGGTTTATTAGCACAGGACCTGGAACCTGACAGCGTGTAGTAGACATGCAGTCTTATGGAGAAATTAGCTGACTTCTCTCTTCATTTATGAGCTCAGTAAACAGTTTCCTAGTGAGTGTATGGTCTCAATCTCTAGTTTCAGTCTTCTTCCATTAAGCATGATGTTCATTTAGTAAATGATGGCCCCATTTAGAGTAAAATAGACCATAAAGCAGGGTATGCTGTAGAGGGGGCTACCTTGTGATTGACAGCTCATTCTCAGTGAGTGGATTATTAGTCTTACTTTGGTTCATATGGTCCAGCTCAACGCACCAAACTCAGATCAAACTGTCAAATTAGGCAGTGCTGATCCTGGCAAGATGGATTCTCGAGAGATATTGTTACAGATAGGTTACAGAACCTGATCCCAGAGAGTAATTATTAATGCATGCAACAGTGCTTTTTTCCTGCAAATGGCCTATGGTGTATGTGCTCAAGTGATCTCAAGGTGTAGCTGTCTTATTATGTCTTTGGTTTAACAGAACACATTAGCAGTGTGCGTTTCTGCTGCTGCGCTGCTGCTGACAGCCTGATCTTTCTATGTTGAGTTTGCTTTTGATAAATACAATACAATAAAAGCCTTCTAAAAGATGAATAGATTCTATATATATATATATATATATATATATATATATATATATATAGAAATAAATGAAGGCAATAGGCCTACTGTTTTCTTACATTCCTTAAAATCAAGAAGACCTTGTGCTGAAGTAGCTTCAGAGTGAAATGGAATTTCAACTGCATCTAACAGTTCAGTTTTCTGTAAAAGCAGGCCTGCAAACTCCAGTGGGGTGAAAAAGGTGACAGTTCTGATTATGTGGATCCATCAAATTTGTTTATTAAAGAAATCTGACAAGGGTATGTACTGCATTACAGTCAGTCAGCTGTTTTATCTTTAAAACGTTTCTCCTTTAATTGTCCAAACATACCATTTTATGATATGCATTTTAATAGTGCTATGAAATGACACACTGCATAATAGAGAGTTGTATCCCTATTGCTGACTACTACTGAGCAGGACCTTTTACCATGTCTTTGAACTCCATTCTTTTGACATTTAGGAAGTGAACACTATACCAGACCTGGTATACTCAATATCGTGAGTACCACAATAGTGTAACACTTATATGGAGTTAGAATCATGCCAAAACTTCACACACACACAAAACGCGTTTGACTCACGCCCAACGATTCACAAACAAACTCATTGTGGTTTGCAAATACAAAACATCATTCACAAACTAATGCATTTTGTTTTGTAAATAAGAAACGTACATATCAAACAAATACATCATGCTACAGAAACAAATAGTATGTTTTACACATACAAAGAAACATATTTCTTCAATTACAAAAAAATATCCTCCAAGTACAAACTACAATCTTTCAAGTACAAACTAAAATCTTTCAAGTACAAAAAAAAATCCTTTAAGTACAAAAAACAATTCTACAAGTACGAAAAACTGTCACGTGACTTTTAGCAGTAATTTTCCGCCTTGCTGATCCACACACAAATGCCTTCAGATCCACACACAAATAAACGTAAACTTTCTAACAAATGTCCTGCAATTCACACTCCACAACAGCAGGTGGCGCTGTTGAGTCAATTTAAGGCCACCAATTTTTGTAATTGAAGAAATATGTTTCTTTGTATGTGTAAAACATACTATTTGTTTCTGAAGCATGATGTATTTGTTTGATAGGTACGTTTCTTATTTGCAAAACAAAATGCATTAGTTTGTGAATGATGTTTTGTATTTGCAAACCACAATAAGTTTGTAAAGTAAAACGCGTTTTGTGTGTGTAAGGTTTTGGCATGATTCTAAATCCATACACTTAGTTCGCCATATCATCTTCTTGTTCAACATTTAAAACAACTAAGGAGAAAACTATTATTTTCATTACATTACATTTATTTCATAGCTATAGTTAATCAATATCTTGTATTTAACACATTTGATCATCTTCATAAAATAAAACTATAAAATATTATTGTTGCCGCCCAAAAGTAGAGCTAAACTGTTATCTTTATGTTGACAACTTTAAACTTCGACTTACATTATTGACATGTCAATTGGTATACATGAGTTTATGAAAAATATAACACTCTAAATAGGGACATTTTGCATAATGAGTATATTTATTTTGACACTTTTAAGAATATTTTGCGAGCAATACTTGCGTAATTTTTCTTATGTAAAATCTTAAAGGCAGTGACTTTTACTTGCAGTAAAGCAAATGGAGTGAATGAACTTTACATTGTTGTATTGTTACATTTACTTCAGCAAAAGAGCTCGGTACTTTTTCTACCACTGGTTATAGACTACACAGTGCCCACATATACTCACATATACGCACACGCACACTTTAAGCCAGGAGCCCGAGGTTTGTCTCCCGTGTGAAAACTAAAAGTTAACACTGACTTATTTTAAGTTTTAAGTTACATAAGTCATGTTTTGTGTGTCACTTGACATCAGTGTCACTTAGGTCACGTGATTTACATAACACAAACCATGACCTTTTACTAAACCTAACCAAGTAATTTTGGTGCCTAAATCTAACCAAGCTGCTACCGTTTCACAACATTAACCACATGTTAAGGCTTTGTTGCAACTTGGTGCTTCTCATACAGACCCTAACCCCCAAATTCCACCAGACACGGTTGCAATGTGTCCCGGCTCCGTAGCTGCAGCTGATTGTGCCCGTTCAAGGCAAATTTGATCAGAAGTGGCTCTCCTTTGTGCTCCATGTAGAATACCTAGCTGGCCTATTTTTGAAGGAAGCCGCGACCCACTCGCATCAAGCAACACAGTGCAGACTACGCCAGCAGTTTTTTAGTGATGCAAAAATTGATTCCCACACTAATCATGAATCATATCACAGTCGCAATGTCTGGCAAAATAATCTGATGTTTTTACCATATTGTGTAGCCCTAGATGTTATGGCTTGTTGAGAGTGTCCATCAGCTTACCCATAGATGCAGGAGATGTCGATGACCACGTCGATCATGTCACAGCACAGTTCATAAGTTTGCATGTCCACTGGACTGCTGTCTGTGGCGATGTAAATCTTACTGACCACATCAAACAGGAAGGCCTTCTCAATACCTGAGTTCTGAAAGCAGACACAGAGACAGAGGAGAGGGTCACTAAGTGCAAATTATTCATGTTAGCACCTGAGCTCTGGTGACCATTAAAGGTCCACTGTGTATGTACATGTGTAAAATGTACATTGAGAAGGATCTATTGGCAGAAATGGCATATGTTATTCAAAGGTATGTTTTCATTAGTATATAATCACCTGAAAGACAGAATCCCATTTCTGTTACCTCAGAATGAGCCGTTTTTATCTACAGAGGGAGCAGGTCCTCTTCTACAGAGCCATGTTTTTACAGTAGCCCAGAAGGGACAAACCAAACAGTAGTTTCTCCTACACACTTCACAGCCTGTTCTTATTCCCAAGTTGTTGAATACAGATGCCAGCAGTGTTCGGTGAGTTGTAATCTGCAACTTCACGGCTAGATGTCACTAAATCCTACACACTGGTCCTTTAACAGCTTTCAGTACTTAAGATTGTATGCTATCTTCTACAAAACAATGTGCTTAGACAGTCAGACAAAAACTGACTTTACAGATTCTTGGATGCACAGTACAATTAGTTAGATATGGGTAAAACTGAAAAAGAGAAATATGAAGTGTATCCCTGGGAATTTACATTAACCTATACCCTGTTTCCAATTATTTCCAAAGTAAAGTAGCTACATCCTGCTCAAAAAGTCTCTTTTCTATTGTTAGATGATGTCATGCACTCATTTGCATATTTGTGACTTCATGTTGTAACTATTCACCGCTCTCTATGACATCAAGCTTTTTACTCTGAGTATGGTTGTTTAGAAAAACTACAACTCGTTGTAAAACCTAGTCCTTATTGCGTATAGTCTGGACCTTAAAGTCTGCCCAAAATGTTGCTAGAGTTTTTGCTAGGCTCTTTGAAAAAATAAATCAATAAAATGAATAAATAGTTTATATACAATTACCACATGGAAAGGCCTATTTGTTCTTACAGGTCGCATTAGAATGGCTTCAGAAAAAACATGTTACTCAGTTTCTCCATTCAGCTTCTCTCATGTTACACTGTGCTTTGGCTGGTTATGAAGTCATTGTAATTTATTCCAGGGAGATGAATCAGGCACTGAATCCTAAATACCATCCTCTCCCAAGGGACGGTCTGTTCAACTGTTTAATTGCTAACAAATAAAAAGTAACATCATATCCATCTGTCAGCGCAGTAAATTGTGATAATAACACAATCATTTACCAGAAAAAGCACATTAAACATAAAGTGTACTATTGTTAAGGGAACCTCAATAATAATCATCAGTACTGCACTCTCTGTACTCTCACATCCACCTACCTTATGTATAGAAAATAACCTGCTACACAAAAAATATATATTCCAGGATCATTTGCACTCTGCACCATTGCTCTACTGTCTTGTGGTCTACATGTGTTATTGTTGTTGTTTATATGTTTCTCTCTCTATAAAAATATATATATATACATACATATAAAAATTACAGCTGCACATAGTAATTTATGTTTACCTTGTTTCCATGTTTATTTTTCTGTATGTATTCCTATTCTGTGTATGTATGTAGATTAAGAGCCAAATTCTTTATATGTGTACATTAATTAAAGTGATTCTGATTGGTAAACGGACCTGTACTGGTATAGTGCCTTTCTAGTCTTCTGACCACTCAAAGTGCTTTTACATTATGGCACATTCACCCTTTCATACACATTCACACACCAATGCACAGCATCAGGAGCAATTTGGGCTTCAGTATCTTGCTCAATGATACTTCGACGGCAGGAGCCGGGGATCGAACTGACAACCTTCCGACTAGGGGACGACCCGCTCTGCCTCTGAGCCACAGCCGCCGTTCTGATGAAAATCCTCAAAACAAACACTTCCTCCATAGGAAAATTAAGTTATAAAATAAACATAGTTTGTTTGGGTCAGCAAAGCAAGGGGTCGAGAGACCTTCTTGATTTTAAAATGAACTTTTAAAATGAATATTCAGTTATGCTGTATTTCTGCATTTCATTTATTTCTGGGAAGAAAACTTAATTCATTTTTAAAGATTAGATTATTGTTTAAGATTAGGGATGACCAGATCCGATCTCACAGATTGGTATCAGGGTCAATCAAGTATTTTTTTTTAACTGAACAGTATGGGCTATATTAAGCTTCATTGATCTGATCCGATCTTTTGTTTTATGTCAGCTGTCACACAGCTGTTTTTACTCATGCAGATTCCATGCAGCCATCGTCAACTCTCTCTGCTGGGGAGTTTCACTGCTGACAGAGAGACAGCGGTAGAGATCTGTTACAACCACACTGCACGTGAACCGAAAGCCAATAAGTGAGTTATTATTGTAATCCAAAAAAAAAATCCAAACGATGTACAGATGATAGAAATACATTCAACAGAATTCCTTTAGGCACCTCAGGCAACACTGGAGAGAGAAACTCCCCCGAGACAGCGACAAGGCCAAAAAGATTACAGTTTGTTACTTTATAATGTATTTTATAAAAAAAAATTAAAAAAAAGAACCCATTGAGGAACAGCTTCTATGCAGGCATTTTTTTTCTTAATGAAATGCAGAGCTATTTAACTGTCAAGCATATACAGTGGATGGATTTTAATAACTTAAATGTACTTGAAGTGTGCAAGGTGCACCTGTATTATCCAGGAAAATACAAGTAATGGCAGATACTCAATAATAAATGACTCCAAGTGGATGGGGGCTAAAAAAGCTTGATTGGGACATCCCTATTTAAGGTATAAAATTAAAACAAGCCTTACAGGATAAGGGCACAGTGAAGACCTGAACACAAGCTACATTCACAGAGCCTTCACTCTGTAATAAACAGCCTCACCCTGCATTAGAGTATGTAAATTATGCCAAAACAACCAACCAGAGGGCAAAGCAATCAGTCCATCGTCACCTTTCAGCACTATAAAAAGAGAGGACAGTAGTGTTACACTCTCTGCCTCTCTTTCTCTTTCAGTCTCCTTCTTTCTCAAAGCGTATTCCTGTGATAATTAACAGGGATCATTCTGATCCAAAGCCTTCATTTTTGGCTGTCACAGTAAGAAATGTAACACTGTAATAATGTCAGAATAAAAGTATATTTATGTCTTTGCACATTAAGATACAATCTTCTTTCAAATAGAATATAATGCTCACAAGATGGTTGCTCTAACACGTGCTGTGACCAATGTATTTAGGATCAAACTCATTAGCAGTCCTTGTAATGTGCAGGTACATTTAAAAGCAACAGAAGGTGACTGGAGGGAAGGCATCGTTCAATTAAGTACTGCCAGTTAATTACTTATTTTTCAATTAAATTTCCCTTGAGGAGATACTGACCTGTCATCTGTTGTCTTAAAGGCTCAATATTCAATTAGCAAGAAAGGAAATCTCTTATTCTGTGGCCTGTCAAAACCACATACAAAGTTTGGATTTTAATTTCAAGTTTAAAACTTGAAGTATGACAGCTGAAACAACACTCAATGCAATTGAGAGGGGGCGATGTGATTGAGTAGGATTGAAACACTTTACTCTGTACAGCCACTCTGCATGACAAAGAGAAACCATCTTTAATTAACACTTCATCTCTGAACTATTGTGTATTGTTAGGAGGCTCACAATGGAAATAAGCCATTAAGCTTGACTTTGGTTTTGCTCTCAATCATTGTAAAAACAGGCCGGAGTCATATTGCCTTTTAACCATCAACTAAAGTCATTTAAACCATTAAAGGATTTAATTAAACAAGCACTACTGTGCTGATAACACCAATATGGGTTGGCCATGGCTTCCATAAAAGCATTAATGTGACTGAAAGCATTTAGCATTTACACTTTCAGTTGATAATGGACATAAGCCAGTAGTGGTCGTGTGGATCGGGAACCACCGATCCAAGCATGTTTTGAAGGACCAGTTTTCACTTTATACTGTTATACAGTTAAAGGGACAAACCAAACACTGGCTCTGGATTGCTTTATTTGACCAAGACAGTGAACAGAGCAGACACAGAAGCAGAGAGAGGCTAAGGCAGGGCAAGCCGGTGTGTGTGAGTCAGAAGTGTAGGTGTGTGGGGGGGTGGGGGGGGGGAGAGAAGCGAAAAAGCAGATTAAAGTATTTTGTGAGTAACAAAAACAAAACATGGTGGAGAGTTAAGTAGAATTACAATGGTAAAACAAGAAAGGACCTATAGTAATACTCCTTCCCATCCCCTCCACAGTTACACTGTCGCTCTGTGGGAAACACTGTATGTTGTTACAGTGTTTCCTCTAGGATTTCTTTTAGCAGTGGGGGCAGGCCTGTCCAAACAACCTTCCAACCTTTTTCCTTGAGTGTATATACCTTGGCTTTTCGGGGGGCTCCCTTTTTGTTATGAGGTTGTGCCTGATGGACTGATTGACTCATATTATGCTGACTACAAAACAGAGCAACAAATAATGCAATGATTCGCTGTGCAGAATGAGTGGGACTAAGAAAGTTTGTTGTTTTCTTCTGATATTTGAGTTAAAGTGACTGAAGTTTATGATATCGCTACCCCCGAATGGCTCCCGATGCTGTGCATCGGTGTATGAATGTGTTAGTTTCTGTTTGATGGGCTTTGCCATCACTGTGTGAAAGGGTGAATGTGGCATGTAGTGTAAAAGCGCTTTGAGTGGTCGGAAGACTAGAAAGGAGCTATACAAGTACAGGTCCATTTATCATTTACCATATTGCACCGCTACACTTCAGTGTGGATGACAAAAACAGCATGCATGCTGGTATATTTATTAAAGTGAATTAGATCAGCCTCATGCATAAACCATACATCAATACTAGCCTTATTGTATGTACGATTCATGATGGTGAAAATACAGAAAGAAATTCATGGCAAATAGCATCTTGTCAGTATTTTAGAGACCCCCCAAAATTTCACATATCATGTTTTCAGGGGAGCTCATGTCTTATTAAGAGGAGCCAAGCTCCCCCTGGCTGTATTTCACACCCTGACCAAAATAGTGAACTACTGAGTTCACTATTCCTGCAAGAAGTTGAGTGATTTGGATGAATTTCTAGCAGATTATTCCCTGTTTAGGGAACTTTTTATCCATTTCTGTCTGTGTTATGTATTTTTTATGATTTTGAACAATCATACAGACTTAATAGCCCCCCCATAAGGTTAGATAAGATGTTCCTTTATTGATTACCCGTAGGGGAAATTCAAATTTTGCACAGTAGCACAGGGGAATGTAATGCAAGGAGTAGAGAAAAAATAAAATAGAATAAAATAAAATAGAATAAAAATATAATCTAAAAAAACACACTATATACACTATTAACAATGAAGCTTTGGCAACCCCTAGTGAGAGTCCCGACCTCTAGGTTGGGAACCAATGGTTTAAGTTGTGTATCAAAAACCCTAATCAAAGCACACTCTCTGTGAAGTCATGCATCATTTGTTTTGGTATTATATTAATGGTTTCACTATTGAAGATTAATGAAGGGACAGAACTGTAAGCTGTGCAAATACACTGTTACAGTACATTATCATGTAAGCCATTTATATGTCAGATGAAACTGAAGCTGATCTGACAGGCACCGGAATTTGCACAGGACGGTAAACAACACAACAAGTAAAACTAAAATTAAATAAGATTTCACCTAAAAAAGAATGTAGGGCATGTTTTTGAATGAATGGCATCAGCAGAGGTTTGCAAATATGATGTAGGTCACATATAACATAAATCTAGTTCATATTCTTTGGTTTTCTCATCAACAATGCTTTTTTCCACAAGATAAAATTCAGAAAACCAGTGGTGGCATTCCATGAAATGCAACCAGTATATCTGTTATGTATCACTACCACCTAGTGACTGGATTTTAAAGTACAGGAGGACATGCACACGCAATATACTACAGTGTGCCAAGTCCAACATGATCATTACAGTGAAGTGTGAAGGAAATAGAGAGAAACTAGTGTAAGCTTTCCATAATGATCTGACTAAATGTCTTTTTAGATAAATCCGGTTGGTTCAGCAGCAGGATTACTCACAGATATGAAAATGTTGAGCAGGTTTTCCAGCGTAGGCAGCTGTGGGATCAGCTTCTGGACCACTTTACTGAAAGCCTCGAATATGGAGTGGTCGTATATGCTGGTTAAATAAAAGCTGGGGAGATCAGCGGGAAGAATCCCAATCACATTAGATTTCAATAACACACACTTTCCTACCCAAAGCCATCTCTCTTTACAACACCCCACCTCTGTCTAAAAGACTCTCCGCTTTATAGTTTCTTTCTTCACTTCCTCCTGCTCCTTTAATCATTTGCACATGCAATGTTGTAAACATCAATCTTCTTTGCACACTGCCTTGTATAAAGTATTTTATCCTATATTTCTATTTCATACTTTCTATTTATGTTTCATTATATATTTTTTTGTATTTTAGTGTATTCTGCATATTGTGTATTGTATTGTATGGATATTGGTTGTAGTTATTTTCTTTTAATATACATTTCTGACAACTTGCTACTGCAACAAAATAGTTAATTTCCCAACGAGGGATCACTATTCACTCGCTTACATGCTTATTGTCTGTCTGACAATAGGATTGGGCGATTGGCTTCTTTTGGGGGAAGATTTTTTGGACAGAATTTAGTCATTTTATTTTGCTAATTTAATGGTCTGCCAAATAATGAGGTCACCGTATCTTGAATCTATGAATTCCGCTCTAAAATCATCAGTCTTGAAAATCAGGCTCTAACAGCCAGCATTAATCTCTAGTTTCATTCTCTAGGTGGTATTAAAGAAGCCAAAGAGGCCCTTGAGTTCTGGTGGCTCTGCAGCTAAGTCGAATTTAACTACAAATAATTTATCCCAAAAAAGAGTTGTCCAGTGATTCCCATCACCAGGTACAGAGTAGATATAGAATACATATAAAACCTGTCCCAGGTTAAAAGTACCAAATCGGTCCAATGAGTTTGTAAGTTTCCATGGGATGAAAATACTACACTGACATGATGACTGTAAAGATTTATGACTCAGTATAACCACAAACAGTGCTAAAGCAGCCGGTAAATCCCACCTCAGGTGTATTCGTTCAAGGCCTGCATCTGCGAGGTCGTCGTTGGCTCGTTTGTGAATGTCCCTCTGCTTCTCGATCTTATGGTCGTCCGACAAGCCATCTACTTTATGAATGAACACCTCGAAGTTGATGTCTGGGTTGACCTTGTAGGCCCTGGTCACTGTGAGATGCAGCCTGCTCAGAGCCTCCACATAGTCATCCTATCATGAGGAAGAGACAAGATTCACACCACTTAGGAAGCAATACATCTACCGCTCTGGTGCTTTGGTTTGGACTACAAAAGTGTTCTTGGGTTAATTTTGTAGTGGTGACGAAAAACAGCCTGGCCAATACTGTTTGCAAATTGTATCACATAATTATCATATCAGTGTATGTGTGCCAGCTGATAAAGAACAAGAAATGTCAATACAGAATTGTCAAAGATATGTTTGAGGTCATTTAGAAACAGTGTCTCCACTGCAAAGTTTGTCCACGCTGACCAGTTGCTTTGTTAAGATTTGATATACCTGGGGCTGTCTCTGTGAAAGAATTTCCTTTGTGGTGATTTAGGGTGGCTCAACAGCACGGTATTATCTCCATTTCTGTTGTTTTTGCTAATTACTTTGTAAGGGTAACAGCGATGTTTAACCTCAGCACCTGCTTGTACTGATCAACTGCACTCTCCCTCCTCCGGCCTCCTGGGCCTGTGACTGTTAACTGGCCACAGTTCACATATTCAGCTGCCACAGCTGTAGTGACCCGTTTATAATTCGTGGAGGTGTTGGCGTTGGCGACCCGTTGGAGGCTACGTGTGGTGATAGCACTGTATTTTTTTGTTGTGGTTATTGCGACAGCCCTGTTGATACCAGTACAGGAGTTAATGTTCTTAATGGTAGATGGAAACTAAACTCTGAGTAAGTTATGATGTAGCAAACATTTAACAGTGAACATGACTGATGAGCTATTTCCTGCTCTGACAATTTCCTCATCACTCCTATGGCTCTGTAATACATCCATTATCTCTCCACACAGATACTTTTGCTGTATTAAAGCAGCAGTAGCAATAGAGCAATAGTAAATATGCAATAGAGAAAATTAGACACATCTTTGAAATTGGTTTCAGACTTTGTGTTAAGATTATTTTCAGCAGCAGAGGAAAGGCTTCTGTTGTACCCCCATTGTAGTGGTAGTAGAGTACTTTCAAACGGTGGTATTAATACTTTTACTTCAGTAAAGGATCTGATCTTCCTCCACCCACAGCCTAACTTCTCCTTTAAGGAAGGTGGGCTTGTGGGTAACTTTCCCGGTGTGTGAGGGATAGTTTTGTTACTGTAGTCAGCCAGAAAGTGTGTAGATAAGCTCAGCAGCTACGAGTCAGGTTAAAGACAATTACAATAGTAAACTGAAGGTAAAACGTTTTAAGCTGAGCTGCACGTGATCAGATGACTGATTGCGGATAAACCATGACTTGTAGCTGCTAGCTGACACAACATCATGCTATTGTGCTAGGCTAGTTCGTTTTTTAGTTTTCATTTCTGCTTGAAATGATCCCACACTTCGGACACTGTCTATCCTTTTCTCTGGTCCGTCTCTTCTCTTTATCCCTTCCTGTTTTATTCTCCAGAGCATGTTGTGCAACAGTAATAATCACCCGTGCAAAACACAGTGTGCTGTACATGGATATGGATTAAACAAAATTAAAAAAAATTGCATCAATGATGCCAGCCGTAAAAATGACATGTTGGGGTTTTATGGCGGGGTCATGTGCTGGACTATTTTAGTCCCTGCACAAGCGAAGGCTGTAAGAAGTGATTGTACCTAGCCAAAAAATAGTGACTTAAACTTGTCTTCATATTGTGCACCTGATTTAACAGTAGGCAATCTGAAAATGCTGAATGTTGAATAGGGTAATAAGAAATGCTTCAGGATATTATAAAGGATTGATACCCTATATAATGAGGCTGTGTGCTCTGACCTGTGAGTCGATAACAAAGATTAGTGCTCCGGTGCCTCTGAAGATCATTTCGTAGTCAAAGGTGGGGTCGAAGAAGTCAATTTGGCCGGGGAAGTCCCATATCTGGAAGCTGACGAAGGAGCTGCTGGAGACGTCCTCTCTGCAGATCTTATTGGTGCTCTCCAGGAACAGGGTCTCATTGGGGGACATTTTATGGAAAACCACCTTCTGGATGGAGGACTTCCCACTCCTCCGCAGACCCATCAGCAGTATGCGAGGTTTGACCTCTCCGTTCAGATAATCACTGAAGCCCAACACTACACATCAACAAAGGAAAGACGCTGTATAAATTAGGACATCCACTTAGAGGTTTACAGATCCAGGCCTTTACTGGAGCAGTGTGGCCAAAATGTAGGACACCAAGGAATAACTACCCAACAGTATATCAAAAATTGCACAACCGTAAACATCTACAGCAGGAAAATGCACATACACAGTAATGCAGCAGTGATTTGAACCTGAAGCATTATGTATAATAATCAAACACTGATCATTTCACTGCAGAGTATTTGAATATGTTTGCTATAATACTTATAAGTTAAGAAAGAATATGTTAATCTACTTATAGGTTAAGGTTTAGAAAGCAGAACTTCTACTTCTACTGTTTTACCTGCCTTGCTCTCAAATAGGGCTTTTCCACATCGAGGCAAACTGTGTTAAAGACACACTTTCAAGTCAAACCAACCTTGCACATGTATAATTTGGGAAAGGACTAAAACTTGTGGCAAACTGCGCAAAACATGGTTGGAGTTTTTCCCACATCCTCTAATGCCTCTAATGCAACTCCTGTTTCCACCATAATTGAAATGCTTGCTTGTGCTTCAGCTCAGTCTTTGTCTTTATCTGCAGCTATTTTCTACCATGCCCTATCAGTACTGCACATGTGCAACTCTCAACAGAAATGAGAAAGAAGTGAGATTACTTTTTTCATAACTTCTTCCATCAACAGCTGCAGTAAAATGATGTGTTTCATTCTTATTTACTAGATTTACTAGACACGACTAGAACTTGTTGTTGAGCCCTGCCTCACAGTAGAAGCAGGAAGAAGTAGTACGAACATTAGAGGAGTTGAATGGAGGATGCCACATGAGTTTCCTATGCCCCCAGGCAAATGTACAGTACTACTATGTGTGTGTGTGTGTGTGTGTGTGTGTGTGTGTGTGTGTGTGTGTGTCACATTCCTGCTTTGCTGCGATGACCTTGATTGCTCCATTTTGGCAAATGTGAAGAGCATTCTAAAAAGACACACTGTCCTGCAGAAGACTGAGGAGGTGAGCCACTCTATGAGCCATCAAATGTTCAGCTGTTAGTCACTGTGCAGTAAAGAGTCAATATCACAGTGTTTGGTAAAACAATGGCTCCCATTATATCTCAACTCCAGTTGACTTTGTCTCATTACAAATGCACCATTCTCATTTTATATTCCAGTGTGGGCATAAAGAAGTGCAGAGCAGAAGGCCACTGAGTTTGCAACTATAAACATAAGATAACAAACACAGTTCCATGCCTCCCTCTCTACTTGTCTCCTGACTGGAAGTAACTTCAGATGTCTAACTTTTATAGCCAGATCAGTCCATCTTATCTAGAGATATATCTTCATTTATAATGCAAGGTCACTTCATTGAAACTTTTATTCTTTAAGAATATTTTAGCTCTTCTTTTGATTTTCTTTTCCTTGATATTTTGGGTAAATTATGTATTTAATAGAAAAGAGATGCATTACATGCCCTTGTTCTTCTGCTACAAGTTTATTGATCTGTTGCAGAGTTACCAACCTATTTTTTGTGTTTAGAAAGAATTTTGAGTATTTTTCCAGTTCCACAGATACCATCTCTCTGATATTATACTATGTCTTTAACGTCCATCAGTGCATTTTCTCATAATGATGATAATAACCATTTAAATAACCTGAAAATAATTACAATCTAAGGGGGGGGGGGAATGTAAAACTACTATTTTCACACATCTAGTTTAAAGCTGCAGTAGGTAACTTATAAATAACCTTTTGACATTATTGTTGAATTTTTACGTGGTGTCCTGACAGCAGTACATGAGACAGATAATCTGACGCTTTGGGTTGGAGGCTTGAAGATAGTTGCTTGTTGAGTCTCATTCCCATGATCCCAAAGCATCAGTATTTGATGACCTGGGACGACCTCCACGATCAACTCTCCTTCAGGGCTCTGATTGGTTGTCCAGTAAGCGCACTAGGAGGAGCCAGAGGAACCTGAATGTTTCACACATTCTCTGTCTCTTCTACTGTCAGCACACAGAGAAATATTCAGTATTTATGACAAAAAGTATTGTTTATATTTTTATTAATTACTTACTGCAGCTTTAAACTCAGACGCCACAAGCAGGCAGCAGGTCCATTTCAAGTCTGGAAGAAACCCATTGTTAGTAAACTGTTACTAGTATGATAAAGCTACCAGCTGTCATGTTTAGTTGGTCTCCCCAGAAAGAAACACTCACGGTAAATGTACTCCATTACTCCACCTCTGCAGTAACTTTAAAAATGACACCCACTAAGTTCTCAAGTGACGCAGAAGGACATTTTATTTTGTAGTTTGAGTATGGAGCTTTAGCTAACTGTTAGCTGACCGGAGGAATAGCTAGCTAAAGTTAGGAGCAGTACCGTCAGCTAAAGTGCACTGAGCCGTTGAAGCAGCCGGTAGCAGAGGCAGACTCTGAGTGTACCGTCTCCCCGGGCTCTCTGCTGCTGTGTGACCTTCCCCAGCAGAGGGAATATCCGCCTACCTCCGTCCTCACAGCCCAGCTCTGCGTCTGAAAACGCCTCCAGGTCGTCTTCGTCGTCGTAATATCCCAGAGCTGCGTCCTCCTCATCCTCCCCGCTCACCGCCGAGAGCCTCTCGCTCGTCATGCCGATTTCTTCTTTCACCGCCGCCTTGTTTCTGGCTCCCGGTGGTGTCTAACTCTCCGACATTGTCACCTGATATGTGAGAGCCATGCTGGTGAACTTGCACCCCCCCTCAGTCTGACACACTGCAGCCACACGGGGAGGGGTCGAGGTGGGAGGCTATAATGGGACTGATTTTAGGGTTAGGGTTGGGGTTGGGGTTGGTGGGTTTTATGGATGAAATGAAATAAAGTGGGCTGCCATGCCAGGGGCGGATCTAGAGGGGTGGCATGGGGGGCCACGACTGAAAAGTGACTTGATTTCACCTCTGAGATTTAAATTGAAAGAGTATAGCTCACCCACTATCTTTCACCTTCTGAAATACATTTAAAGGACCAATGCAACCCATAAAATGCAGTTTCCCCCTTAACAAATGATTACAGCTTCTATCTTGTCACTGAAGTTTTTTTCCTGCCTCAATATGACTTGATTTCAGGGTGTGACTAAGGGGGCCAGGGAGAGCTTTGCTCCTTTTAATAAGACATGAATTGTGAAATTTTGGGGGGTCTCTTAAATATTGTCCATATGTTATTCTTGCCATGCATTTTAGAAGCTCTCACCTTTAGGAAGCCGATCTGATTATCTCCACGCATGTTAGTACTAAAATGTCAGATGTTTGAATAGAGTTTGGCCTGCAGAGGTGTTTTAGTTTTTTAGATTTTAAAGAGTAACATTGTAGTTAATGACTCACAGATGCTTTCAACTTTAAGAAGCAGATGTGATTGCCCATAAGCATGTTAGTAATAAAGTGCCAGATTTGTAAGTGGAGTCTGTAGAGGTGCAGAGATTCGATGACTCAGAGAGGCTTTCAACTTTAGGTAGCAGATGTCTTGTATTTGTCTTTCTGTATCTTCATCATCATGGGTCATGAGTAAAGGTAGGCTTATTATCATTCATGCATGAGGGTGATTCATCACTAATTCACAATCCCAGCATGTATCTGTTCCTTATCTATTAAAGTATTGTGACACAATATCATAAAACTCACTCACTTTAACTCACATATCAGAAGGAAACCAACTCTCACCAAATCGCAATTACCCCCCCAGATGAAGTGAGCTCCTCCGAAAGCCATGTTATAGTTCACACACTGCTTGATTTTGAAATTTATATTTTAAAGATAATAGCACATCTTTTGTAGTTAAAGGGGACATACAACCATGAAATGCAGCTTCTGCACAGTGAAGATTAAACAGCACACTGTAGGAACAAGAAGAAACACAGATTTTTGACCAGATGGGGACTTTAAAGTGTCAGTATGTATTATAATACTTCCTGTGATGAGAATCACTGCAGGTTGGAGCAAAAGGTGGAAATCAAGAATCACTTTGCTTAATGCGTCACTGTCCAAATGCCTTTCACTAAGTATGTCAGTCAGTGAATGCATCATTGTTGATATGGCCCTGACGTTCAGCCCTATCTTTTAAAGTTGCAGTATGAAAACTAACTTTCTGTTGTATTTGCACAAAGTTTACTCTAGCTGTTCCTAGTGCAAATGCCTTTATGAACACTAGAGGGAGCCAGATGGGTTTTTTGCATAATAAACAACAAGAATATAATTTGGAGTGTGAATGCTGGCTGCTTTTTTGACTGCATCGGCATAAGATACCTGGTTTGTAACTTTATATTTCTGTACCTCTCTAGCTTGTCTTTGAACAGGACGCTCTCCAAACACAGCACTGTATCCGCCACCACAGTTGCAGCATTTGATTTTTGCATCTCAACCACATTTTCCATATTCATGTTCTCCCCCACATCTTGCACATCTTTGCTTTCCTTTACATTGTCCTGCAGTGTGTCCCATTCGTTTGAACTTAAAATATTGCAGTGGTGCTGGGATAAACTCAATAACTCAAATATCCCATTTTTACTCTCTTGGGCAAAACTTTTCAAAATTTTCAAATTCAAGGAGTACTGACAGGCTGTCAATTTGCACACCCTTCCTTTGTATTGCAGTCTTGTAGCTTTCACTACCTTTCCTCCTTTCACTTCCTAGATGATCTCATCCATGGTTATTAGATTAAATTAGTCTCCTGTTGCTCAAACACTTAGCAAACTTGATCTTGCCCATTTCTTTCTCAATTCCCTTCTTCAGTTTTAGTGGGTGAAAATGTCCCCCTTCTTTCTTGAATGGTACCATCACTTTTCATTCAGTTGTTCATCCTCCTTCCTCACTGCTGCCTTCACTTTTTTAGCCATGTCGCCCACCTCCAAACTAGAAGTTGAGCTTCTACAACTATCGCTCCTGTAATTGATATGTACCCATACACACAGCAAACACAGAGCAGTCCGTAGTGTAGCACTAAGATTACAAAACATATGCAATCATACTTACAGGATCACACTGAGTCAAAACTGATTATTTTACTAAAACAGAAAAACTTCAAAAATACAGCTTCTTGTAGATAATCTAACAATCTAAACTAATCAATTGAATTCGATTTGATGCTTTGATGCACTCGGCTCCAGTTTCACTTTGAGATATCAGCTGGTAACTGTTTCACAGATTTTTGTGGACTGGGTTCAGTAAATATCTAAAACTCCTCACTTCTAATTTACAATAGCCTATTTGACTCATTTTCTATCTCTGTCACAGTCAGTATAGAATTAGCTGAAGGTTTTATCATTTCCTAACATCCCACTTATTTTGTATCTGCCAAGAGGGAAGTCTTTTGTCTACTGACAGATCATATATAATTGAGCATTTTTAAATTCACTTTGTGTTTGACTGCCTTTACGTGTTGGGAGGATTTTATTCAAGCTGAATTGTAAACACATGATGTTATGAGGTAAAAGGATCTTTCTGTATGAAGCAGGTTCTTTTAAGGTGTTGAGCAGCAGTTACTACCTGAGTATCTGCTATCAACTGATGTGAGCTGTGGTGAAGGAGGTCTGCTCACCTCTATAGACAGAAACAACTGGAGGAGAGTGGCACTTAAATCACTTCAAGTTGAACAACAGGAGATGAGGAATCTATTATTTTGCTCTCCATAAGTAGCCTGACATTCCAACACCAACACAAAGGAACTTGAAGAGCTCATCTCTTGTGGTCATGTTTAGCTGGTGAATGTTGTTAGTGTCTCAGTTCTGATTACTGTCAGCTTTCCCTCCAACTGTAAGTGCTAATCATTTGTAGCTTCTAGCTCTGGTTGTTAGCAGCAGGGCAGATCTGCAGAGTGTGAACTGAGTGGAGGATGCTGCAGAAAGAGATCATGCTGAGACAGTTTCACAGTGCTCGATGAACACAGGATGGATGAAGAGAGGATAGGGCTGCAGTGGCTGCTCAGGCTGTTTGAGAGTCAGAGACACACACAGAGACAATGTGTGTTTGTGACTGTAAGGAAGGTTTTCTGAAGGCTTAATTAACAGTCCAAAGATCCAATAGAATACATTTGATCATTTAAAGTTATTATGTTGGAAAATTACATCTAAGTGGGCCAAATTGTCACATCAAGACAGCTGACATGGACATACAGTTAATGTGTTAACTTTTTGTGCTAATTGTATTATAATTGAATTAAAATGCATGCAGTTGTAGTAATTGTTGTTGCCAAGTGTCATACCTCCACAGCTGAAGTGTGTATAAGCTAAACTGGAGAAATAAGATGTAAGTCAGGTTCTTGTGACAGTAATGGCCTCTTCCAATCTTCATACACTCCATCAGTACAGACAATCTGTGACATACACAGCCACACAACCACACTGTCCTCTGCATCAAAAAAGAAAAATACCGTCTTCACTTGTATCTTATTACTTAGAACAGATTGAGCTGAAGCAAGATGTCTCCTCCTTCACTGTAAAGTCCATTCTCAGTGGATGTGCACTGGTGGCTTCAAGTTTCTACATCACACTGTACAAGTTGCATACTGGACCAGGAAAAGCCCCCAAATGAAGATATTTTAACTGAAAAAAACATTATGGTGTCACATATTAATAATTAATAAAGCAGTAAATAGAAATATCTAAAGGTGGCATTAGAATTCAAAACATTGTTTACATTTTTAACATTAAAATATTCAAATCATTAAATGAATGTCCATTTTATAACAGGTTATTTTTAATAACTTTAATGAATATAAGTTAATGTGTTAAATTTGACAGCACTTGACAACCAACTGAAGTGACCCCTTTAGATCCGCCCCTGACTCTGACGTCACTAAAAACATTTTTTGCCATAACTCAAAGAGTTGATGACCATGTTTCACAGTTGGTCAGACACTGAAGTGGTGTCACTTTTGACTCAAAGGTCAAAGGTCAATGTGACCTCACAATAGGTTTTTAGCCATAATTCAAGAATAAATTCACCAATTTCAGATTTCAAACACATGTTGACTGGGACGACACAATGAATAAACAATAATGAGCACAGTACAGGCTTTCATCTTTCTGTCTCATGAGCATCATCAATCATATGACTGCAAACAACGTATTGGAGCGTACCTAGCTAATGGTGATCCTGTAAGTGAGTGAGTTTCACCTACAGCTCATAGAGAGGCTCACATTTCAAAATGTCAGGAGAAAATAAAAGCACCACATTTAGTATGGTTATACTCTACAAGAATCCATCTTTACATAGTGATCAAGTACATGTGAACCTGTTTAGCCAATACATTGATGATAACCCTTCATTAATCAGTTTAAAAATGTATCTTCACTGGAATCATACATGTACCATCAATATAGTGATAACTTCCATTGAGTAATAAAATGCACTTTATACCTTTTTATTCAATTATTTCAAAGCCTTCACTACATGTATTGTATGAGTCTGGACAGACATGGATGTAAACTGCAGTTCCACTGGCTGGCGGAGACATACAACTACCCCGGGTGGTAATTCTTGTTTCCTATATATATGAGTGTAAACAACTCAACATGACATACTCAAGTAAATGGTAAATGGTATATGGACCTGAACTTGTATATTCGCCTGTCTTCCGACTACTCAAAGCGCTTTTACACTACGTGCCACATTCACCCTTTCACCCATTGAACAGAAACTAACTCATTCATACACATTCATGCACAGCATAGGGAGCAATTTGGAGTTCAGTATCTTGCTCAAGGATACTTTGACATGTGGTGGGAGGAGCCGGGATCGAACCATCAACTTTCTGACTAGTGGACAACCTGCTCTGCCTCTGAGCTGCAGCCTCCCTAGTTAAGTAAAAAGTAAAGTACAAGAACCCCCAAACTGTACTAAAGTACAGTACTTGAGTAAATGTTCTTCTTACATACAGAGCTGTTTTCTTTCTACCAGAGATGTTTCACTTTAAACTTGGATCTGGATTTCCCCAATCAAGCCCAAATCTGCTTACTTCAAAAGATACGATCTCACTGGCTGTGCTCAGGGTGGTGTGACTGGAGTGATGTATCTGATGTGGGTGTGTTTTTAACCCTTTATCGGGCGAGGAACCATATATGGTCACTTCATTATGACAGTTTTAATTACACTTCTATGGCATATTTTGGTGGGTTTTTTTATGGGTGATATACTAATATACACTTCAATGTTACGGCTTTCTTTCACAAATAATTCAAAGTGGGCTTGATCTTTATTTGCTTATGGCTTATTTATTACATATTTTCATAGTATATTGATGTGGCATATTTCTTTTTGCAGCAGCTGTCTGCTCAGTCCTTCTATGGGAAGAGGAGGCCTGCTGTGCCACAGATTGTTGTTGTGCCAGCAAACGTAGATATCATTGACTTTGATTTTCAGCCTAAAACTGACCTTTTCAAAAAAACTCAAAACAGAAAAAATGTCTTCTTATATCCACCAATAACACTCCAGGGTTGAAATTTCCAAGTATTTCAATGAGTGCCCTATAAAGGGTTAATAATCAGCCTGGGAAGGACATCAAATCGAAAGGGTTACTGTGTGCAGTGACTGAACCTGTTGGTTCAGTGTATACAGACTATCACAATCTGATGATACAATTCAAACATCCCAGAACATTGTAAGCCATGACGGTAAACGTGACATACTTTATACACTCTAAACATCGACATGCTAACATTGACATTGACATTGATGCTTAGCTCAAAGCATTGCAGCCTCACAGAGCTGCTAGCTGTCTGCTTAGTTATGATATAAGGACTGTACAAATATACTAAAGATGGTCATATACCTGATCTCATGGTGATGCTAAAAGAATCAGTTTGTCTCAACTGCTGATGTCTCATATCAGCTTCATCTGAACATCAGAATGCATTCTACATGTGGAGGACTGTGGATGTTGTCCCTACCCCTAATAGTGCAGTTTGTACCACTTTACCAGTAACTATTTTACTGTACATATGGGCATATAAAAAAACATCATTAAACTCCTGCAGGGTAAAATAATTGTGCTTGTTCAGCGGTAAAGTCCTGAACGGTCAGCCACTGCCACTTCTGGATCTGTTCCCTCTCTCTATGAGTTCTATCATCCATCCCAATAGGTAGCTGTTGAAGCTTTGCATTGTCTTTTTGAAATTAAATGCTTTGTTTATGAGTGTGCCAGTGTAGAAGTTCAGTTTGAACAGCTTGTAAACAGGGTGTGTCTCTGAGAATGTCACATCTTCATCTTGATCAGACAGACTTGTCCATCCAGTTTCTTTCAGTAATCTTAGAAGCTCCGAGGTAAACACTGCATTTTAATAGCCGAGACTGTGAAACCACTTACCCTGTATTTAAAAAGACAGAAAATGGTGCTTCACGATGCAGATGTGGATTAAACTTTTGACCCAATGGTTCCTGCTGTCAACAGCTGAATGTGGTAAGTGACATTAGTGCTACTGCTGAATTTTGAGGCATATTGTGAACTGTAGGAGCAGAGCCAAGTCTGTGTCTGTTGTCTGTCTATTGTCTTATCAAAACAACTCTACTACATTTGTATCTCCACAATATCAACTTGCAGAGATTCTTTAAAACAAGAAAGAGCAGTTTTAGCTTGGTGTGGGTATATTTTGCAATCCTTTTTCTGTGCTGTGGTTTAACAGTACAGCTCACAGAATTCTGGGGGCAGCAAAACAAACCATTGTTATTTTAATAAAGTCAGGCAGTAATTGGCATTTATCCATAATTACGTGAGCAACCACAATCTGTTTTGATTATGCACAGAGTCTAAGAGCAAAAGTGAAAGCCAGTGAAAGCCATTGCAGTCTCCTTCGTGTCCCATTACAATACTTCAATATTTGTAATATTTTACTTCAACTGATCCATTGTCGAAAAATGCTGAAAATGGCATATTGTCTTGTTTTGTAGACACATCTTTGATGAAGTAGTTAGTGCCAAGCTCACTGACAAACACATTGCATTTCCTGTGACTACTTCATAATTAAAGTCAAATGCTTTTCATGTGAAGCTGCCTCTGTAGGAAATGTCCTGTTTGCAGTGGCAGTAACTTAATGATTATGTAACCTACTGGGTTAGTTCCTAAAACAGTAAATACATAAATATTACAATACTTTCATCAATAGATCATGGGTTCAATCACCATTGTGTTACCTCATTCAGCAGTAGATAATAAATTAACAGACATTTATTGAAATGAAAATCTTTGAGATTGCCACTTTAAACTGAACTTAGTAGGGCAGGGCCTTTATATTTTAAATGCAGGACTTTTACATTTAACTGAGTATTTGCACACAGTGGTATTGTATGGGGCCAGAGTGGTGACATTAAATGTTGGAATTTAAATTCAAATTTGGCATTGAAAACAAAACCTGAACTGAAAAAGCAGGATTACATTGATAAATAAATGATATTTTTTTGTATTCTGATATATACACATATTTCACTTGACCTGTTTATTTCTGTCAGCTACTCTGTTAACATGCATTCAAGTAACTTGGTCGCTCTTGACTTTCTGCAATGACCTGATTGCATAAACATAGTAAACACAGGCCTACGCAGGAACAAATACTTCAGACAGGAGAAATATCCTGACTGCTGTACAGAGGAATGAACTTGTAGTGGTCTGTCTTTGTATCCATACTGATAAGATAATGTTTCTATAACAGAAAAATAGACTTTATTCAAACATATCTGTTCTAAATATAACAGCATGAATAATAATAGCATAAATAGAGGCAAGAGTCTGAGTTTTGAGCCTTCAAATGTCTTTTGTTTTTCAGGCTCCCACTCTCTTGAGTTCCTGTCTACAGGACGTGTGCAGCCTGAAGATCAGCCTCAGTTTGAACAACTAGCTGTATTTGATGGAGTTCCCATCTCTTATTGTAACAGCTGGACAAAAAGAGAAGAGCTCAAACCTACCCTGGAATCAAACAACTTACCTGAACGCTGTGATGAAGCAAATTATAATATCATAGACTCTGTCCATGTGATTCCAGCACTGATCAACAGCACAGTGTGTAAGTTCTTAAAATGTTTGTTTTTGTCACATATTTGATTCAAATTTGGTGAAGGGCTGTCTGACATTGTGCACTAAAACTAAAAACTGAATCCTACTTTCTTACTTTATAGATGTTATACAACGGCGCTGTGGCTGCATCAGGTCAGCCAATGGGATTGTCTCTGCTTTTGATGCCTGGGCAGTGAATGGGATGGACTTCATCAGCTTTGACCCTGAATCCCAGAGATGGATATCCCAGTCTCCCTCTGCAGTACCAGTTAGGCAACAGTGGAATAACAATAACGACCGGAATTTTGCCTTCAAACACTTCCTCAGAGAACAATGTCCACTATTGATACAGGGGATGAAATTAAGAGCAACGCACCAAAACACAGGTGAGAGCTGAAACAACTGTCCAGATAAAATACAGGCATCTTCTTTCAACCACACTTTAGAGTCTCCCTCAGCAGATGAAGTTGTCTCACTAATTTGACAGGGTCAGGGTTAGGGTTAGGGTCAGACAGGAGCATTCACAGGATCAAACAATAATCTATTTAAAAATAGGAGCGTTAACCCCAAAACAAAGTTAATTTTACATCCAAAAAAGATAAATACACAAACAGAAATGTGACTACATTGTGTGTCACATTTACACACTAAACTAAGAAGGTGAATATGATAAATATCAGCATGTTAGCATTGTCATTGTGAGCATGCTGATGATAGCATTTAGCACAAAGCACCACTGTACAGCCTCACTAGTGTAGCTGTTGACTCAATCTTGTTATTACTGAGAATATATTTGTGCTTTTATTTTTCACTTGGGATCAGTGAACTATATGACAACTGAACTGAACTCAACTACCTGCTGAGGAAGACCACGACGTGTTTGAAATCTCCAGAAAAAGCTTTGGAAAAAAACATTCTTGTCAAATTACTTTCTCCAAGATCGTGTGAAGATAGCGTGAACTTTCACTATTGTTTGCATATTAAACAAAGACCCATAGTGGTCATGTGAATGATGTTTTTTACCCCAATCGTGATCTTTGATATTACTTTATTTCTCTGCAGAGCTACATATATTTGCCAAGCCCATTGCTGACACAGACCAGGCACTGCTGAGGTGTCACGTGACGAGTACTGACAAATCAGTGAGCTCAGTGCATCTGATTGGAGATGGGGCTTTCAAGGCCAATTGGATCTCTGTAACTGGACCAATACCTTCTGAAGACGGATTTGTGATCCTCAGACTGACAGCTGGGATCTCTCTGAGCCAAAGCTCCAACACGTACGGCTGTAGAGTACAAACAGGAGGCCACAACATCACCGTGTTCTGGGGTGAGAACGTGACTTTTCAAAACGTACACACTGAATTTATTTGGTTTACCTCAACTATTGAATACAATCTGTTCAATCTCCTGAGAGAGTGCAACTGTAATCATAGTCTTTCACAGTCACTAACAAAGGTATTACTAATTGCAGTAGGTCTTACAGGTGTACTTAAAGGTCCGGTGTGTAACAGTTAGGAGGCTTTATTGGTAGAAATGGAATATTTGTGTATTATCACCTGAATATAGGAATGGTTGCGTAACATACAAGCCCCTACACTGCCCCTCATGAACCCACTGATACTTTGTACAAGAGATCATCTCACCTCCCACTCACTGTATTCAACTTGATACTTCAGGCTACTTCAGGCTTTATAAAATAATAATTATATATTTATTTTTTTGGCACAAGACCATGGTGTAAGCAGGATAATGCCCTTTGAGGTGTCTATTATCAGACATTAACGGACTTTGTGGAGGCAAATGTCCATTAATCCTGATAAAGGACAGTTTATCAGGCCTTGCCAACTCCAAATTCAGCACATACACTCCTGAACAAAATCTTAAGACTGGGGGAAAAATGACAAGTATTCGCATTTCGCGTTGGTGGAACATAACAAGATTGTAAGTAGAGCTTCAAAATGCCAAAAGAAGAAACAGGAGCAAGAGACAACAAAACAATAGCATAGGCAATTTATTGAAAATTGCATTTAAACTCAAATAGGCTGTTCATCAGTTGATCAAAAGTTTAAGACCATAGCCTTAAAAAAACCCAAAACAGATCTAAAAGTGTCAAAAAAAGGGCTCAGTAGTGAGTAGTCCCACCGTTGTTGTTGAAAATTTTGTTTAGACGTGCTTGATGCGAGTGTTTCCAGGAGGATGGTGGGAATAATGCTCCATGTGGTGAAGATGGCTTCACGAAGGGCATCCATGGTCTGGAACTGATCTCCCTTGCCATCCATCCCCAAACGTTCTCAATGGGATTTAGATAAGGGAACACGCAGGATGGTCCAAAAGAGCAATGTTATTCTCCTGGAGGAAGTCCTTCGTCAGACGGGCGTTGTGAACTGCAGCGTTGTCCTGCTGAAAGACCCAGTAGATCACCACACAGACGAGAGCCCTCAGTCAAGAGGGATGCCCGCTGCAACATCTCCACATAGCCAGCTGTGGTTTGACACCCCTCCACAACCTGAAGCTCCATTGTTCCAATGAAGGAAAAAGCACCCCAGATCATGATGGAGCCTCCTCCACTGTGCCGCCTAGAAAACAGCTCCAGTGGGATCTCCTTGTCATGCCAGTAACGTTGGAAGCCCTTCTGTCGCAGACGCTGTCTGATGGTTATTGCGCTACAGTCAGAATCAGTAAGGGCCTTAATTTGGGTCGAGGATCGGCCTGTGTCTTCACGGACAGCCCGTTGGATCCTCCGGCTCAGTGCAGGTGAAATTTTTTTGTGTCTACCACTTGACATTTAGGTCCCATAACCCTCAGGACTTTTAAGAAATTTAAAATGACTGCGTCCAACCTCGGCAGCGATGGCGCGTTGCGAGAGGCCTTGCTTGTGTAGCTCAACAATCCTGCCACGTTCAAAGACAGAAAGCCTTTTTGCCTTTGCCATCAGGTGGTCATGACAGTGTGAATGCCTGCTAGAAAATGACATGAAAGCCAGATTTTTGCACAGATTTTGACTTTTTAAGGCTATGGTCTTAAACTTTTGACCAGCTGATGAACAGCCTGTTTGAGTTTAAATGCAATTTTCAATAAATTGCCTCCTCTATTGTTTTGTCTCTTGCTCCTGTTTCTTCTTTTGGCATTTTGAAGCTCTACTTACAACCTGGTTATGTTCCACCAACGCGAAATGCGAATACTTGTAATTTTTCTCCCGGTCTTAGGATTTTGTTCAGGAGTGTATCTCCTCACGATATGCCAGCTTTCCACACTTTCCACAAACAAAGTGGATCAGACTAAGCCACACAACACTAAATAATTATAACACCCAAAAGAGTTGCCTTCAGACATCAATCTTACTCTCTAGTTTCCCAAGATATGCTGCTGTCGTGATGTTAATTATAGTAGCAAGAGAGTTATGTCTGGAGCTGGTGAGCTGTTTCTGGCAAACCATCTCGTCCTCTCTTTAGTGACAGTTATCAAACCCACAAGATAACTAATGCTTGTTCACTCTATATCATGGTATTTGTCATGGTATTGGATGATAATGATGATGATGAGGAACAAAAATCTAAGGAAGTCAAACTGTGAACTGATCATGAATGGACAGAATGAACTTCAGTGGTCAGAATGGATTTTCAGGATCTTCTTTCATTGCAGATGGGAATACTCTTGATGGCAAAAATCTTCTCAACATGTTAACTGTCCATTGGAAAATTCTGACATCAATCCTTGGATTTGTCTGCATTATCCTTGTAATCACTGGCATATCTTGTGGAACAATATTCTTGCTTAAGTGTGGTAAGATTTATTTCCCATTATGATTATAATTATTGTCAGCCCATAAGTAAAGGAGATTTTTAAAGTAGAAATTACAGAGATGTGTTTGAGATCATTTTTTCCATAATTTCTACTACATATGTTGGACCTGTTCATGAGTGAACTGTGTCTCTGGCTGTCACTGTTAACAGAGACTCCAGTCTGCAGTGTAGTTCTGATATGACTGAATAAATCCAGTCTAATGAAGTAATGAGATAAATTCAGAATGTATGTAAAGATAATACATTACATAAGTCTGATGTCTTACCTGCAAAGGTTCAGCGTACAGGAAAGTGTCATTTTAGCTCTGCTTTACACACTGTACTAGAGCTTACACACACACACACACACAAACACAGCTCTGTAGGTCGGTCCAATTTTCCCTGGTTCCTGCACAGTAATACAGTATTTGCTAAATGAGATCCAACTGCCAATGTAATGTGTCCTAATTGTGCTTGCCTTTGTAGTCAAGAAGAAGTCCCGTCCTCCTGCAAGAGTTGATCCAGAGCTGAATGAGCAGTTTACAAGGCTGGGTCAGAGTGTTACCTCTCCAGATCTGCAGAGCGTCATTTTTTCATTCACACGGGGTAGAGAGGGAGAAAGAGAGTGGGACCGTTGGGAGATGAGCGTTATTCCAGGGCAGGAAGACATCTATGATCCTGAATACTTTGCTCATCTAATTAATGGAGCATATCGATAGTTACGTAAGGAATTGAGAAATAAATTTGAGATTGCAGAAACCCAAAAAATTCTGCAGTTTAAAATATCAAATGTAAACGTCACGTTTTACTGTCAGTTAGTGCAACACTGCTGTTTTACTGTGTCACTGCTGTTTCCTTCCATTCTTTAGTGTATATATTTCACACTGAGGTTTCAGATACAATAGCCAGCTCCCAGCTATTTCAAAAATGGGTGAAGAGTTTGAGCTGAAGAGGCCCGAATGAAGCCTGGTTACTAAAAACAGCCGTCTGTGACGGCACCCACCTGTCACTCAAAGCAGCCACGCCGTTAATTATGTATAACTTTGAGCTTTAATGTAATTTTAACAGGTGATTTATATATAAATTCACCCCCTGTACAGTTGTCATAAACAGGAATATTAGCTATTGAGACCAAAATTGTTTTTTGTACCAGGCTGAACATGTTTGCTGTAAGTTGGACATTTTAATATGGGGCCTTATGGATATTGACTCACTGCTGGAGCCTGCCTCAAGTGGCTGTTAGAGGAACTGCAGTTACTTCTGCATTGGCTTTACAGTGTTTGCTGCTTTGTATCATGTAGCAAAACAGGGAGTTGCATAAAGGTTTATGTTTGAACCATGTAGCTATAACAACACAAGACCGTGAACTCTTAAAATCTCTTTTAATGAAAATATGTTGAATAATTCATTAAACTGTACTTTATATAATTTTATTCAACAAAACTAAGCCTAAAAACAAAATAATACTCAACAGTCCACTTTGAAATGTATATAGTTGAAAAGTGAATTTATATTGAAGAACTATGTGAGTGGAGTAAAAAGAAAAGCAGCTCTCGATGACCCACAGACAGGCAGCAGTGCTACTGAAGGATTATTATTATAACAGCAGTATCTCTGCAGGTTGAAGGGCTGCCACTGTTAATGATCATATTTTTATTCATTCATCTCAAGAACTGGACTTAATTATCTTCTTATGTTGAGATACCAATGTCAGTCAGTCCCAGGTAATATTATGTACTGGCCCCTGTATGTAAAGAGTGTGCATAGAATGCCTTATAACCTACCAAAACTATGAATATGAGCTAAAACCTCCCTTTCTTGTCAAGCTACTTTCCGTTTCCAGTATTATTTAACATACATGTAACATGCTCTTTGATTTATATGCACCGTTCTGTCTCCTACACAAATCTGTTCTGATAAACTCTGATTCATTCATTCATTTACATTTATTCCAACTCATCAATCCAAACACAAGATTGGACCTGCTTCCTCTCACAGATTCACTGTAAGACCTGACAAAACAACTTAATGAAATAACTAAGTTAACTTAAATTAATCCATAAGTTCATATTCACATGACAGACATATTCAGCTGACAACCATTTTGATAATCAATTAGTTATACCTTTCATCATGTGTCAGCTTTTTTGACAGGTAATGTAATAATTTGCTCTTGGGGAAGAAAAAAATAGCAAATTCAACTTGTTGGTAATATTTGTATAAAGAAGATGCACTGAAGTGACTTTATTCAGTTAATTCTATTCACAGATTTAAAATAATTTGAAATGAAAGAAATTAAACTTCAGCTGTTGATGGCAATCTGTTTCCTCAAACAGTTTGTGTTGAACTAACTCATCAGGTTTTACAGTGCTGATTGACAGGAACTTAATTCAGAGATGAACACTAGTTCTCTGATGCCGTTGAAGATGTTTACTACAATACTGTCTGCAAGAGCTGGAGTCAACAAGTCTTTATTTTTTATTAATGATACGTTAATATGGATATGAGTGTCAATGCATTCAAATGCATGTTCTTAAAATAAAATACAGATTAAGGCTCTGTCTACATTTTAAAGAGCAGCTGGGATTCTGTCCTCTCCCCCACAGTTATATTTTATTTTATTTTATATTTTTGTGTCATTTCATGTCTTGCATGTTGTGTGTAATAAAAACAAATCAAATTCAAACTCTTAATGTTCCCTATTTTATTTAGTCAAATTTGCAGTGGAGGTTGCATCTGCTGACTGTTAATATTGACACTGAATCTCCTTCTTACTGTAAAGTGCCTTATATGTTCCAGTACTTCCAATATTTTGCTATGGTCACTGAAAAGACGTACAAAATTGTTTTTTCACTGTTTGAAGTGTTGATTTAGACTATATTTCTATATTTCATCCATCACATCTCACTGTCAAGAAGTCTTCTTATACTATGTTATCTGACTTCCTAAGGCCTTTTTCAAAATATTAATATCTCTCAGAGAGAGAGAGTAGGATTTCAGCACTCAGCCCAATGAGACCTGCTGGACTGAATGATGATTTCAATTTTAAATACTTCCTCTGAACAAGTTTAAAAATACATAAAGTAGTATACGATCTGTAACCTCATTATAATGAAATATAAGGAGTCATTATCAATCATCAGTTGAATGTTGTACATTATGTGTTTAGGTAAAAAAGAACACCACTCTGTTATCAGATTTTTGAAACCCTCAGGCGTATTTTTAGATTTTGGCCCCAAACATCCATGTACAATATGTTAAATTATTGTGTATTAACAATTAGATTATATTAACAAATAATATTGTAAAAAGAGAATAATATAGTGTACATGGTCAGTGAATGTCTCTTTGCTACAATATAAACAACATGTATATCTGCAGGTGCACAGAAATGCAGTGAAATATGTCACAGCAGAGAAAAAATGGTGTTAAAGTTGTGGGATATGACTATGATGAAATCCAGCCTAGTATACTTTAGATTAATTTAGAATGCATGTAAAGATAATTCATTATATAGTCTTACCTGCAAGGGTTCAATGTACAGGGAAGTGTCATTTTAGCTCTGCTTGACCCACTGTACCAGTCTGAGAGCTGTCTCTCTCTCTCACACACACACACACACACTGCTGATCTAATTAATGGTGCAAATCGATAGTTACGTAAGGAATTGAGCAGAGAATCTGAATCTGGAGAAACAAAGTAATTGAATCACTTTAGCATATAATGCATATATTTTTACTGTCTGAGGCATAAAAATGTGTGTGTGCACTGTAGCATGCATATACCTAAAAGCAGCCACGTCCTCAATTATGCATAATTTTAGGCATTAATGTTATTTAAACAGGTGAGTTAGTACAGTTAGTATTATAAAAATTCACCCCTCGTACAGTTGTCATAAACAGGGAATTAGCGAAATAAGAGACCCAAACTGTTTTCTGTTCCAGGCTATAAATGTTTATTTCTGCTATTAACCCTAACCCTAACCCTAACCCTTGAAATAATACACGCTGCACTTTATATTATTACATTATGCACATTTTATGATTATGCCCTCTTGGGTGCTAATCCTAACACTGACTTAGCGGTTTCACCATAAATGCATCACAACTTTCTGCGCACCACTTCTCCACAGCCCCACAAACAACTTGAGTCTGCCTCTGGAATGTGTTCTAGAAGCAATATCTCTGCAGGTTGCCTGTACAAAAAAAAAAAGAGTAAAGTTTAATTGATTGACAAGTTCATTTTCAGTAAGTCTGTCTATCACAACGCACCACCATAGCATGTTGGGACCTTTGTACTCTCAACATTTCAATTTTATTCTCAACATTTCAGCTTTGTTCTGGAAATTGTATTTGAACTTTATTTTAGACATTTCAACTTTATTCACAACATTTCGACTTTCGACACTCGAACTGCATTTGAGATCATTCATATAATCATCAATTCTGAAATGGTTTGACTTGTTTGTTTCTTAATGTGTCATATCGAGCTGGGATTCTATCCTCTTTCCCACAGTCCCATTTTTTATTTTTTTAAATGTGAAACTGGCTGTTTTTATGGCACTGTCCAACACCTGGCATAATCTCAACTTCGATTTTAACATTTGTAATTATACACTGTCTGAGCTGTTACATGTTTTAAAGCAATATTTAGAATGTGACCCACTGCAAACCCTTGTAATGGGTTATGAGTAGTGCTGTCAAAAAAATATTTAATCGCGATTAATCGCATTAATGTCGCAATTCATCGCACATTTTTATCTATTCTAAATGTCCCTTGATTTCTTTTTGTCCCATTATTTTTTCTCATTTTAATGCTCTTATCAACATGGAAAAGTGGATCGGCTTGCTTTGTGCAAATGTTGTTTTTATTGAAAAATCATCCATTGTCACCTGGCTTTGACGAGGGGGCGGAGAATTGGCATCAGCTGTGTGTTTGGCCATCAAGTGGTATTTCAGACTGGACGTGCTGTGATGATAGCTCAGTTCACAACGACAAAACACACAGATCACTTTGGTCTTGTCAATGGAACCATTTGGCAACTTTTTAAAAGTAAACTTAGCATTCAGAATATTATTGGCATCCATTTCGGCGTCTCGCGCTCGCCATCCACTCAAAACACAACATCTACTACTCTTAAACAAGTGTGTGCAGCGTGCCTGTTGTTTTGTTTCCGGTCTAGCTAGATCTGGCTTTTCTAACGTTACTAGTTGTTGCAACAGCATATGAAAAAAACTATAAAGTGTGCTAGGCCAAAAAGTAAGTTAATCTTGCGATAAAAAAATGTATGCTGTTGAAATGGGTTTGCGTTAACGCTGTTAATAACATGTTTAACTGACAGCACTAGTTATGAGAGTTGCTGATACCTCAGACAGAGACCAGCCCTGTACATCAGATGTTCCACAAGGAATCAAAGCCAGATGACACTAACGTACAGGTAAAATGACATTGTAGAGACATCACCAATATCTGTGGTGACTTGTATGTGATGTTGTTCTACTACCAAAATGGGTCAATGCTCACGTTGCTTTTCTGGATGCAGATTTTTAGTCAGATCATGTCATGTTTATATGTTACTGCTATCTCAGCAACAGTTTTTGCTTTGGCTAACTTTTCTAGTTAGCAGATACCACCATACATGAAGTTAACAGATTTTTGCTGTTTATATATGTCTAGGAGTTTGCTGTCCAAGGGCTTTCGCTCATTGATTATTCAGATAGTGATGAAATTGATGAGGACTGTATGGAGAACAAAACTCCAGCTCCACACCGTGATGTTCTA